AGTGATGGATACTAACTGATGCTATGCATCTGAAGACCGGAAAACCCACCAGAGCTACAATAAGAACAACCGGTAACATCAATAACATCAGATCTCCGTACCTATCACACTAACCATGGAAAGGCTGCTTGCAGCACTGACGGTACCTAGGTGCACAAAGAACAGCAGTCAAAATACACTACTATGGCTGTAATACGTTTTTATGTGTTTTTGCATATATGCGAATGCAAAAATGCATATTAGCAAGAGGATGTGTGTGTGTGTGTTGGCACTTTCTGACACCCATTTTCAACTCGAGAAATAAAAAAGCTAGAAGACTGAAACTTTGGAAGTATTTCCCATGCCATGCGCGATCCAACCACGTGCACCTGAGTGCCACGTAGAGGTGCCTTAAGCAATATGTAAATTCTTTGGCGGGAAAGCAATTTCGGGGACCGGAAGGGATAGAGAGCTGGAACTTTGCAGGGATATTCTCTGTGTATGCATGAGCCAAACATTTCAAATTCAGCTTCTCATTGTTCGTGGTTCTCACGTACAGACACGTGAAAGACTTGGCGGGAAAACTACTAACCCGGTAGCCAGAAAAGCTGAAAGACTGAAATTTTAAAGAGATGTTCCCTTTCCACGTAAAATTTACAGATTTCGAATTCAGCCTCCAGATGTGCATGTTTCTCTTATACGGGCACTTAAATTTTTGGCGGGAAAACTGCTCACTGAGGCCTCCTAAATTCGATGCATGCACACATCATGCTGTATCTCAGAAATACAGAGGATCCAAAGGGGTCATGCGGCTAAACAGTTAATAATAGTTGCTAGTTAAATAAGGTGCATGAAAAACTCACTAAAGCTGCCGCCTTCATTCCGGTCGTTTGAACTACCGTGCCTACTTCGGTTATCGCTCAAACCGCCGCGTCCTCCACCTCGACCACCACCAAAAGCACTACGTCCTTCACTCCGGCCTTCACCTAAACCACCGCTGCGAGGCTCCGGGCAGTCACGTACGAAATGGCCTGGCTTCCCACAGTTATGACAGCCTGTAAGAGAGATATACGCACTAATACATTAACTGTTTTCCTAATACATCCTAAATACATTCCAAATACTAATACATCCTAAATACATTTAACTGTTTTCCTTGGATAAAATGGCTGGTGCACTAAAATAATACTAGCCTACACCCAAAAAACACAAGCTCATGAGTCTTAGTACACAAAAAATGCGGGCTGATTTTAAAGCCACTTCTCTGCAATACGAGATTATAAAAACCCTTAGATTTTTAGACCCCACAGTCACCGGATTATTAACATGGCCTCAACTTGAAGTATCTTCAAAGCAAAGTCAAAACGTCGCTCCGGACTTTCTGCCACATGCAAGTTCCGGCTTCTAAATATCGCCGCTAATTCTGCAAGCGGTAAATCAAAACCATAAACGAGCAAATGTCTGCTGTGGTTTGCTCCTAACAAGATCGCTCGGACATTTGGTGTGAGCTGATGTGATACCAGTGATGTTACTGGGATGCTCCTACAAACCCGTCACAATCTGTTCTTCTTACTGCACACTATGTTAGGGTATATTTACTAGTTGGTCAAGATCACGTAAAAGATCGCGTCAATCAAGCTTAAGGGACAATGCAATTTCTCGGCTAGCTGCTCACTTAGCTACAGTTTTGAGGTATCTTCTTTATTTTCCTATAACAAGCCTTAATCCCAGTCGATAAGGTATCTCATCGTGCTCTGCAGTGGCAACGGAACGAGGTGATGATGCTCAACACATACATCAGTGACATTTCGAGGTATCTAAAAACTTAACAAGTATTTTTGTTTGAAGAACCGCAGAGTTTTTAGCCCCTTCAGGAGGTGAAACGAACGTCGAGTTAAAATAACTAGAAAAGATGCGCAGCTGGAAAGCCAGACTGGGGCCGATCCAAGTTCTCCAAGCATAAGCATCAATTCTATCGTTAACTTTGAATTTTTCGCCACTGAACAGATGTAAGCGAAAATGCAACTTAGAATACAGTAAAACTTTCATAAATTACTTTCTTAAAATTTTTATAAAACAAAAAAGACTTAACGACCCTCCAAACAAACAGTATGGAATAATCATGAAGACAGTGGAATTTAAATAAATCAGCTCTCAGAAAAGATGACTCTGCAAAAACTCGTTGGCCGATGGGACACAGTAAATCCCTTCACATCACCTCTAAGACCACCTTGCTACTCGAATTAAAGTCTAATAAAAGCTTAGGCAAAAACGCCTAGCTTTTCTACTATTAACTAGTCTGCAGCTTGTGCTTTTGCAGTACACGCCTATCCTTTTAGAGGCGGCCCAAGTGGTCGTTTCACTACATGCAACAGCGGCCGGCAGCTAAATACACGGACAATTCTGTTGTGGAAATTCCATGCAGATGATGATACAGGAATTACCCAAAACGCCGGGCTCAGCTATGTTACTCTTGTTGACCGGAGCTGTATAACTCTAGTCCGTACCCACTGCCAGCTCGGTGGAGCACTTCTTCGGAGGCCGCCTATTTCCTAACGCGCATCTACAGGTAATAATTGGCCAACACACAGGCTGCCCGTGCGAAGATGCGTTTTTTGCATAGTTCCCCGCAGTTTTTTTCGCCTCGGCATCAGTTTTTTCGGCAAATGCTTCTAGCTAAACAAATTAAGACTGGCCACCAAAACTGGCAGGAAACGCCCCTTAAAATTTCAGCTTTCTAGTGGCTCTCGGGTTAGCAACTTACTGGGAAAAAACTTCCACGGGCCCGCACGCGGGTACCACGCATACCCGACTTCTAGGTTTGAGCTCGTTGAAACTTACTTGAACGGGGAACATCTTAAAACTACAGTCTTTTAGCTTTTCAGGTTCAAGAGTTATGAACTTACCCAAGGAAAGCTTTGGTGAACCCGTGCGTAAGTACCACGCATGACCGAGGGCTGAATTTGAGCCCGTTGAGACTAATGTGGACGGGAACATCTTAATATTACAGTCTTCTAGCTTTTCAGGTTCTCAAGTTATCAGCTTACCCGAAAAAAGTTTGGCGGGCCCGTACGCGTGTACCACGCTTACCCGGGGACTGAATTTGAAGTCACTAATACCTACTTGAACGAGGAGCATCCCCTTAAGATTTCAGCTTTCTAGTATCTCAGATTCCCGAGTTATGGACTTACCTGAGGAAAATTTTTGCGGCCCGCAGGCGGGTACCACACCCGAGAGCTGGGTTTGAGCTCATTAATACCTATATGGATGGGGAACATCCCCTCAAAATTACAGCTTTCTAGCTTTTCAGGTTCGCGAGTTATCAACTTTCCCGAGAAAAATTTTGGTGGGCTCGTGCGCGGGTACCACGCGGGTAAGACCGCCCATTCTGGGTATGGGGGTCCGCACGTGCATGTAGATTATGTCTCAAAAGTTTCAGCCCTGTAGCTTTTGCCGGTTTCGAGATGAAAAATCGGTACAGAGGCCCTGCTCACACACATACGCACACACAGACACACACACAACCTCTCATCAATATGCGTTTTCCGCATTGCATAGCTACAAAAAATGCATATAAATTCAAGGTTCCTTACTTCTTCCACCGCCAGTTCTAGCACCTCTGCTGCCTCGACCGCCTTCATCCGTATTTCTTGAGCCACCGAAACCACCGCTACGATCGCTGTCACGAAAACCACCACCACGGTCGTTGTCACGGAAACCTCCACTGCCACGTTCGTTATCGCGGGAACCCCAACTGCCGCTATGTTCATTATCACGGAATCTGCCACCACCACGCGTGTTATCGCGAAAACCTCCGCCACTGCGTCCATTATCCCAAGAAGTTGATCCTCCACCACGGCGCCCTCTTTCGCGAAAACCTCCGCTGTTGCGTTCACCGTCATGAAAATCTTTACCACCACGCTCGTTATCACGGTAACCTCTGCCATCCCGTTCGCTATCAAAGAAGCCCCCACTGGTCCGTTCGTTATCTCGAAACCCACTATTTCGATCACCATCGCGAAAGCCTCCACCGCCGCCAAAACGGTTACTTCGGTAGCCAGAGCCTTCATATCTGTTTCGATCACTCTCATTGTTTGACCATGGATCACTGTAGTTGCCACTGCGTTCTCCGAAGCCATCAGCTGCTGGGCTGAAATTGCGTGTTTTGCTTCCGAAGTTCCCATCAACACGGCCTCGACGTCCAGTATCAATTGCATTATCAGGATTTCGGCGTCCGCCAAACTCCGACCCCCCAAGTCGCATCGTTTCGAAGTTATCTAAAACATAAAATTATATACCAAAAAATATCATTTCTGCGAAAGTCATAATAGAAAAATGACTAAGCCTTGTTCTGCGGAAGTAGCATTCCAAAGCGCTACACGATTAACGCCTGATATACCTCCTTTTGATGAAGAATTGGCAGTGGCGAATGTCAGACATTTACCAGTGCAGGTGCAATTTTGATTTACATTTGTGAATTATAAGTGATAATGTTAGGAATCACTGCAACAAAAGTGAACAAATGTGCAAGCGCATGTTGGGAATTTGGAAAAAGAAGTGAGGCGGTCGGTCCATCGACATTCTCAATCGTCAAGAACATAAAGCAGACCGACGAGAGCAATGCAGAGGTTGAGTTTTGGTTATTTAAAACAATTTCATGTGCCATTTAGCTATCACAAATCAGCAAGCCTCTATTTGTTACAGTCAGGCGAACTGTCCGTGTTTCAAGCCAATCGCCGCTCGGACAGAGAAAATCCGGGAGGGGTTTTGACTTTTGAGGTTGACACCTCCTTCTACGGATAATCGCAGTAAAGCTGCAAAGACACCAATGATGAAGAAATAAACAGGATTCCCATGCATAAATACAGTCTAGGAAGATGTTGATATTTGGTCAAATGAAAAAAAGAAAAAACGAAAAATGCGAAATTAAGATTTAAACCATCTTACTATTAGTCATGCTAATTTTAGATCTGTATTTTCTTCCATAAGCCTAGTGCAGGAAAAACTTGAAGAGACTCAAGATTTTGTTAAATTTCGCTTGCATAATATAAAACACAATATTCGCCTCTAAATCAAATTTGCAACATCAACAGCAGTTATTACAGCACAAGAGGCGAACAAGTGGATAAAAATTACAATGCATTTTTGGCATTAAAAGGTCATTTTTGGCATTAAAAGGAGAATATTCATCAAACAGCTTTTATGAAC